CCCTCGCGGCCCCAGGCCGACATCCAGAAGGTGTGCATAGGGAACAAGAACATCTTCACCGTCTCGGACCTGAAGCCCGACACGCAGTACTACTTCGACGTGTTCGTGGCCAACAGCCGCAGCAACCTGAGCACGGCCTACGTGGGCACCTTCGCCAGGACCAGGGAGGAGGCCGCGCAGAAGACGCTGGAGCTGAAGGACGGGAAGGTGACCGAGGTGTTCGTGAGGAGGAAGGGGGTCAAGCTGCTGCGCTTCGCCCCCGTGTCCTCCCACCAGAAGGTCGCCTTCTTCATCCACTCCTGCCTGGACGCCGTGCGGGTCCAGGTGCGCCGAGACGGGAAGCTGGTTCTGTCCCAGAGCGTGGAGGGCGTGCGGCAGTTCCTGCTCCGTGGGCGGCCCAAGGCCAAGTACCTCCTCCGGCTGAAGGGGAGCAGGAAGGGGGCGTCGGTGCTCAAGGTCCTGGCGAGCACACGGCCCGGCAAGCACGCCTTCCCGTCCCTCCCCGAGGACACGCGGATCAAGGCCTTCGACAGGCTGCGCACCTGCTCGTCGGCCACCGTGGCCTGGCTGGGCACCCAGGAGAGGAGCAAGTTCTGCCTCTACAAGAGGGAGGTCGGCGACGCCTACAGCGAGGACCAGAGGAAGAGAGAGCAGAACCAGTGCCTGGGGCCGGACACACGGGCGAGGTCGGAGAAGGTACTCTGTAAGTACTTCCACAGCCGGAACCCGCAGCGGGCGGTGACCACGGAGACCGTCCGTGGCCTCCAGCCGGGCAAGGCCTACCTGCTGGACGTGTACCTCGTGGGGCACGGGGGGCACTCCGTCAAGTACCAGAGCAAAGTCGTCAAAACCCGCAGGGTCTGCTAGTGACCTGGGTGCAGGCGCGTCACGTGGACCTGTCACAGGGGCCTCCAAGATGCGAGTGCCCGCGGCTGAGCACGAGGGAGGGGTGTCCGCGGGCGTCCGTGGATGCTGGCGTCCCCTCAAGAGGGGAGACTGGTCCTCGCACGCCCTGGGTGCCTGGTGTGTGACGTCACAGACAGACCCCGCAGGAGCCACCATCCCCGCTCTGACCACTGCATGAACTGCTTCTAAATTATTTTATTACCTGAAAGTTTAAAAGATGCCATTCATTGCACACATCCCCCCAAATGCAAACCAGTCCTCTCGATAGATGCTAGGATATATCGATATAAATTATTTTATAAAGTCTTGTCTTAAATGTCGGTGTGTCTATGATCGTAAACTATTCAAGTCTCCTGTTAAAGCACAGATCGGATCTACGTCTGTGATGTGGACGGTGCTCTGGTCAGCTGTACGGTAAATGCTTATCCGTCGCGTGGAATGTTTAAATGCTGTATGTCTCTCCTGTGTGGAGTTGACACGTTGTATCCATGTACATAACATTAAAGATATTAGAGTCTATTCTGCTCATTTTCCCAAGCAGCGGCCTTGGTGTGTCCAGTTAATGTCTGTCCCCCGAACTTGCGTCCTTATGCACTTTGGCACCGGGCCCGACCCTCTTTGGATAGTTGCTGTCGTGGCGCGTCTCCGGGACGTCGCATGGCATTGGGGACGGGATTACGGTCCGAGCTCTGGCGCTGAGCAGCTCGCAGTTGTGAGCACTGAGTCCGGAGAACTGGTTTTCACAGGACAGGACGAGCCGAGCACTGCAGCTCCCTCTCCGAGCGCCCAGCACCTCGTCCTGCACAACCCAGTGCCTCTCTGTGTTTAAAATAAGCTCCTCCTTTAGGTACAAACGTGCGGTAATTCCAGGTGTTTTCTGTGTGCGTGTAATTACTAACGAGAGAACGCCAGAAGCGGCTGTTTCGTAACATCAACAGTCCGACACTTTCCCCTTTGATTTTTCATGAATCTTGAACAAGTCATTTAGGTGTCAGACAACACTGAGGCCACGGGTGACGGCGTCCGTGTGTCCGAGGCCCTGGGAGGTCGGTGCCAGGCGGTTTCCTTCTCCGCACGTGCTGCACGTGAGGCCGTGGGAACCAGGACCCGGACGGGCTGGAACCTGCAGTCGCCTGAGTTGTGCGACTTCGGGAACCTGCCCGTGTGCGCAATCAGGTGGGGACGGACCGGAGCAGGTGACGCTACAGGCTACTTTCATTCCCTCATAAGACGTTGTCCTTGGTGGAACTCTGCGACGCTCAGTCACAGAGTGTCTGGAACTCCAAGTGGACACAGGTGTAACCCTTCACGGCTCCCTCGTCTCCGACGTGCCGGCTCCACCTTCCCCAGGGGCCGGCACAGGTGCGTCCCGTGCGGGCAGATGGCTCTGGCCCAGGGGTGTGAGTGCTGGTCCTCACAACAGATGCCCTGCCCCCTTAGCAGCAGTGCCCCCGTCAACATGGACCAGCCAACTCGTCCGTGTTGAGACCAAATCAAAATGTGTCCCGTGTGTCTGTGCGAAACAGCTGTGGCACCTGAAATAATCCTTTATAAGGACGAGTGTGTAACCGACCTGGAAAAAAACATTGTTGGTTGAAAGTAAACCTTCAGAATTGATAACATCCCAGCGATGTTCTCTCCTGAATTATGAGCGTGGTGCCGTGGGAAGGGGAATCCACGGTCTCCCATGACTCGCAAATGCGTTCTCACACAGCAAAGCGCTAGACCCACGCCAGTGAACCCACCGTAACGCAGCTTCCGAAGGGGGCGGGCTCCCCGCTCAGCCGGCCGGCCGGGAACCAGGCCAAGTCAATGTCACCGAGTTGGCGTCTCCAGCCGCTGCGATGGTGGCTGCTACAGCCTCTGGATAAATCCGAGCATTCTTTCATGCCCCAGTGAAGTTCGCCTTTTAAAAATGTCAGGAGAGTGAGAGACACGTTGTGAAACTCCTGTCACTCATAAAGAAAGAACCTATTAATGTTAAGGCTCCATTACTCATGTGCTGAGGTTTTAGGAGCGCGCAGGTGAACTGAGGACAAGAGAGAGAATTTTGTTCCTAATTAACGAAAGAACTAGAAAGTAGCTACTGTGAGAACGCACCCCCTCGTGTCCACGGAGCTGAAGTGTGTGTGTGGAGAACGGGGCGCGGGAACCCCATTGGGAGGGGCGGAGCCGCGTTGAGAGGAGCGTGGTCTGAGCACGCACCCAGGTGCACCCCTTCAGTTTTCAGGTGCAAAAAAGAGACGACCAGAGAAATATCAACAGAGTTCTCGTAGTCGACACAGACAAGGGGTGGAATTGCCCAGGCTCCGAGATCCTTGCTGGAATAGAAGTCAGTTCTTAGTGGGGGAAAGCCACTCGATCATTTTCCAAAAGGAAACAAACGTTTTGCCTTCTTGTTGATGTCAAAGCGACCTGTCCTTAAAGCCCATTTCAGATTTCCTGAAGGGTGTGTGCACAGCCTATAACCCATAACTGCATACTAGTAAGAAAAAAAACAGAATGGTTTTTATTTTTATTTTTTTATTACTGATTTCAGAGAGGAAAGGGGAGAGAGAGAGAGAGAGAGAGAGATTATTGATAAGAGCATCACTGATTGGCTTCCTCCTGCACACCCCCCACTGGGGATCAAGCCCACAAACCGTGCATGTGCCCTGACTGGGAATAGAACTGTGACCTCCTGGTTCAGCGGTTGGCGCTCAACCACTGAACCAGACGGCCGAGCTCAATTAGGCGTCTTCAGAGACAGAGTCTTCTACTCTAGGCCTGCGTGCACACAGACCTGAGGCGATACGGTCATTAGTTGCTTAAATGACAGCCCTGTGTTTTTAAAACCGAAACTATTCAGAATCAATAAAAATTGTAGTGGATGACTTCCTTGGTCAAATTGCTTTACCATCAATGTCTAGATGGTTTTTTAAACATCATTAAAGGATTCGTGCTGGAAGGACGTGGGCATCCCTTATTGCTGCTGTTCAGAACACATTTGAAAAATTACGATTTGTGGAACCCTGAGAAGCCGAATAAAGTGGCTGCAGTAAAATCGTCACTTAGATGAACTCCGGGCGTTCAAGTCAGCTTGATGGTTCTTAATAGTTTGGGAGGTTCAGATGCCGTCAATGAAAACAGTTTCTCTCATGCTCAGCTCGTGGGATTCGATGGGCCTGTAACCAATCAGAATCTCTCAATACTAACCAGCCCCGCAGGGACCACCTCATCCACAGCCTCAGTTTTTTTTAAAAAAAAAATGTGTTTTTATTGATTTTAGAGAGAAAGGAAGGGAGAGGGAGAGGGAGCTAGAAACATCAATGAGAAACATCATCTATGGACTCCCTCTTGCACGCCCCCTGCTGGGGGTCAAGCCCGGCCACCTAGGCCTGTGCCCTGACAGGGAGTGAACTGGTCGGTGACTGCTTGGTGCCTGGGATGACACTCAGTTCACTGAGCCACACCAGCCAGGCACGGCCTCGTTTTATACGTGAGGAAACAGAGGCCCAGTGAGAGCAGAACCCCGATTCCTGTGCCCCCAGTTTAACGTTCCCTCCAGAAAGCCACAGCGACTCACCTGGGTGCACCTCTGTCTCTGCTCAGGGGCTGGCGTCGAAGCAGAACCAAACCCAAACCAGCATCGACCTTGGAGAACAAGATCCCGTGGATCTTCCCCAGCCACTCCCTCCCCCCTGACATGGTGGGATACTGAGAAAGCCGGCTGGGAGCTGGCCGTGGGATGTTCCCCGACGAGGGCTCGAGGGAAGGGGCGCTGGTGGGCTCAGCCGTCCTGCGTGTGCTTGTCCGCGGGACCTGGGCTCTGCACACTCACGCTGTGTTCTACCCAGAGCTCCGGCCAGAAAAGCAAACTGGTTCATCGGGGTCTTTGCTGTTATTCTGAAGGGGGGACGTGGGGGAGGGGGGCAGAGAGGAGATGAGAAGAGTATAGTCCTACCTCATTTCTTTCTCAAAGGGGCTTGTGAGGTTGAACGAAGCTCAACTGTATAAGGTTTGGGATTCTGCCCTACACCCAACCTTCCCCTGGGAAACTTGACCTTAATCGCCACCTGCTAACTGCCCGTTGGGTGGCTCTGGTGGTTGGAGCAGCGTCCCCTATGCCCGAGAGATTTTGGGTTCGGTCCTGGGTCAGTCTGGGCACGTAGGGGAGGCAACCATCAATGCCTCTCTCCCCCTTTCTCTCTCCCTTCCTCTCTCTCTAAAATAAATAAACATGTCCCCGGGTGAGGAGGTTTAAGAAATGAGTAATTAACATTGTCTCCCACTGATAGACATTTTCGTTTCCTGGGAACAGTGGGCCGTGTATGGCGGTAAGATTTCCTTCATTTCTGTTTGTTTACTCTCCTCCGTCTCAATTTTGAGAAAGAAACTTCATCATCAAGGTTTAGAGAGGAAGTTAATTAGAATGGCTTTTCGTACCCACCCCCAGACCTCGTTCAAAGATGTTTTTAAATATCCAAAGTGTAAGAGAAACAGAAAGCCTGCAGAGATAAACAGGGGGCACCCACACTGAAGCGTCTGGGCGTAGGCACGTCGCAGGAGGCACGGGCATCGGCCGGGCACTAATGAGGACAGGTGGCCTCGGCCGTCCCCCCGGGAGAGGGAGGAACTAGGAGCAGAGGGGGTGCTGGGTCCTAGTAAGGACCCATTTAAAACAGGAATAAGAGTAAACGTTCTCATCGTCCCATCAAGCCACCAGGAGAGCTGAGGAGGTCTTGAATGGAGAGTTAGGAATGGAGAGTCCAGAGGCTCTGACCAGGGGCACATTGAGCCTCTGCGGACACGGCAGGGCCCCAGGCCTGCAGACTGCGGAGCAAGTGTCTGAGTGGACTCGGCTGTAAAACAGACAAAGCAGGCGGGTCTTGCTACGGCTGATGAGATCCAGTCAGAACCGCCTACAAAATACAACCATCTTACGGCGAAGAGGTGGGATGAATGTGTTGCTTTGAGTCCAGAATTATTGTCAGAAACCGGTGAAGTCTAAGCAGTGATTTAAAAGCATCTGCCGTCCCTTTTTGGTAAGCAGCCTGCCAAGATGAACATCCAAATAAACAAATATCCATTTCCTGTCCGTAGTCAGGCCTTCGTGTCATCCTTCCAGCGCGTATAAACAGGGAGGCCCGGGGTGATATACATAAGATACAGGTGCTTGACCAGACCCCAGCATGTCCATATTCAATTATAACTCAGACAGGGTTTTGCTTCTGAGAGAAATTGTTTGTAATCTACAGATCCAAGTATATTAATGCACAGTGTGTGTGTGGGGTGGGTGAGGGGGGAGGTAGGCCTGTTCAGTCCCATCCCTCCCTGTGGAATAACTCGGACCGTGAAAGGAGGTGGTCTGTGAGTGCCTCTCTCATGGGCTGGGAGAGCTGCCCACACCCGTCTAGGAGCGGCTCCCAGGGGCTGCAGGGGACCCTGGGCAACCACGGCCGCCCGGCCTCTGCGGGGGCCAAGCTGTGCTCTCCGCAGATGCCGGGCCTAACAGGGGGGCTGTGGCTCAACCCCAGTACTTACAAGCAGCCCTGGCGACA